GCTGTAAGAATAGTTTCATAAACTGCTTCCAACACAAAAAGAATCTGTTCCTGATCTTCATCCATGTTCTCTTAGTGGTGTGTTAAATTAAAAGCTTTACAATCAGAGAATGAAAATAATTTTGTCACTGAGTATAGAACACAGCTGGCTTCTCACAGCTGATATCTGCCAAGGTTGCAAAAGTCTTATCTATAGTCTGGGCTTCAAGCCAAGTCTCTTTTAGACAATAATAAGTTGTAATATCAGGTTTAGCCACAAGACGTCACCCACACCGTTTAAGATTTTTGGTTTTTTTAAGTCCAAAATTTTTATAATCCTTTTTCAATTTTACTTCTTTTTTGTAAGTAAAAACCCAAATCTTCAATAAGAATAAGAAATATTTTAGTCCTCAAATTTTAAAAAGATAAAAATTCAGTTAGAATCGAGTTATTCTTTCAGCATTTTAAACTCCCCTGGATAGTCAGTCGCTGCTGTTTTTAGAGGGTGGGATAGAATTTCCCTTCCCTCTCTCCACAGGGGAAAAAATACTTTGGGCAGCTTATACAGGTGGAAAAAATAATTAGGATTTAAGAAAGGTTCAGATCTCACCCAGTCTCATCTGCGCTGCTTTATAGGTGCCTGGTGGTAAGCTTGACTTCGGCTGTCTGCAGCCTAGTGATGGGCCATATTTCTATGGCCGGTCTTTCGTCCGCTGGTTTGGAGGGCTGCCCTGGATTGAGCAGAAGGGCTACTATCAAGCGGGGGTCCCCTCCTTGCTTGTCGCCCCTACAAGGCGACTTTTGACCCTTTTCAGGGTCCCCCAGCGGTGCGAAATCGGACATGGAAGACGGAGCTCACCTTCCAGCGGCCGCAGCGGCCGCGTTGACAAACCGGAAGTCTGGGATGATCTTCACTCCTTGGTAACTCTGCTGAAATTGTACATATTTGGCATAATTTTCTTCTTTTCTCCTAGGAACACCTTCAGTCCCTACAAGGCAGCATAGCAGACTTCAATATAAAATGACACAGTAAAACTAAAACTCAAGAGCTTACGTATTTCCCTCTTGAAAAGCTAGCAAGATGCTTATGAACCTTTCTAGACATTCTGTTACTTCCATGATCTTTGATGAATCATGGAGTACCAGCATGTGCCCAGAGCTTTAGAGAAGTGCATATGTTGTTCCTATTAAAAAAGAAAAGGAAATAGAGGCTCCATATAATTATAGACCAGTCAGCATGATGCTGATATGAGGTGTCAGGCAGACAAGATCAAGAAACTCTTAGAAATTGATAAGAAAATCCAAGAATTGAAAATATGATTTGTTCATAGAATCAAACTAAGAAATCATATCCATATCATTTTTCAGCAATTGCAGATATTCAATAACAAACCATGTATTGAGCAATGAACCTTAAATATTTAATATTTTGTTTTTCATTGCATCTTATGTAGTAATCTACTTTGATCCTTTTGTTTCCCATTGGCTTGGCATGATAACTAACATCTCAAGCAAAAGTCAGTTTCTGAACTTTGCTTAGTGGGAGGCAGGATAGTTTATCCAAAATAAATTATATTGATCTGTTCTCCTCTTGGAATAGAGTGACTAGTTTAATTGAACATGGAAGTATGATGGACTCTGTCTACTTTGATTTCGGCAACCCTCCCATGAAATTGTAATAGAGAAGATGACAAAATGGGGAGGCATTAGGGGTGTTTCACCTGGAGAAGAAAACTACAGAGAGATGCAATAGTTGATTCAAAGTATCTGAAGACTTGTTTTTTTTTTTTGCCCAGAAGACAGGATAAGAAAAATACATTTAAATTGCAAGGAAGAAGATTGTTTCATTGAAAGACTTTTTCAACAAAGAAATAAACTGTTGCAGCAGGAGAAGGTTTTCAAAAAGTGGGGGTATGGCCATAAGTTGGGAATGCTGTAGTAGTGGGTGACTGCATGAGCAGGAGGTTAGACTAGATCATCTCCATGGTGACTTTCAATCCTTACGTTTTCTTCTATGCTACTGCTTGCACAGCTCAACTTTAAAAAGGCAAGAAAGGGAAGGGTACAGAAATACCCATAATGGATGGGATTCCCCTTCAGGCTAAGCAACATGCAAAACGGGATGAAGAATGATAGTAAACCAAAGTAATTACAGGTATGAGATGAAAAAAGAGCCAACAATTGCTAAGTCTAATGTTACAGGTTTTTCTACCTATATCCATGTTAGTGAAATCCAAAACCCCAGAGAACCAACCCTAGACAACACACAAACAAGCATTTAATGGCTGGTACTCACCATTTTACTATACCACCCCTCTCCTAATCTATTGAAACTTCTGTTCTTCCACTACTTCTTTTTCTGTAGAACAGGAACAATAAAGTAAATTTGCCTTAGGCTGCTTCTCTCCCATATCACTAGCTGCGTCTCTGCTGGACACCAGTTGCTGGGCTGGCTTGGGAGAGATTTTGGTGTACTAACTTCTCAGGTTCTAGCAATTTTGCAGACTCTCACATCTATTTTATACCAAGGGCATTTATCATCCTCCAGTTATCTGCCTCTGAGCCTAACTCTAGTTTATATAAATACTTTTCACTATTACTTTTTCATATTTTTCTTTCCCTGCTTCCTTACTTCCACCATAGTTATACACTGCATCACAATCATACACTAATGATCATACTCTACTACTTTGTACACTAAATGTAAAAAATGAACAGTCCTCTCTCAACAGAGGAGGAAGGATACAACATCATCTATCTTCAGTCTACAACACAGTCCTTTCAGCAGTTTCAAGAAGGCTCCATACCCATTTGTACCACTCAGGTGACCCTGAAGACACAGCTAAACCTCCAGGTGGCTTCAACAACTCTCTAAAAGAATGCAAATGACCAGCTGTCTGCAAGGAGTATACATCCTTCCATTCCCTACCATCCAATCAGAGCTGAAGAAGCTTCTTGGATGAGAAGCAAAATGTCTTCAAAGAAAAACAAGGAAGTCCAGTTGCCTCATGAAAAAACATCTTTAGGATAACCATGACCTGGATGACTGAGAATCTCCATAGATACACTAAATGTAGTTGCTGATTGGTGGAATGCAGGCAATAGAATATTGATTTGCAAGATTGTCTCTAGATTAGTGTGATCACACTTGGGATCAAAGTGGGCATTTGACCTATGGCCAAAATATGCCAGAACTAATCAATCTATTTGACTATTTTCTGACTGTTATCAGAAAATGCTCTGTGTAGGATGGATATGATAAAATATGATAATGTAGTCCAAATATTCTTTATTCTACTGAATAGCATTATGTAAGATGTAGAAACACTTCTTGTGGTGTTCCTTTTGAAAATGTTCAATGACATGCTAATTTTTTGTAATGCTAACAGCTTATCAAATGAACTTTCAACATCTGTACAGACTGTCAGCAAATTGCTTTAAATATGTATTTCCTCAGAACAGTGCACATCATATGTTTTCATAATCAGACCAATGTATGGTTTTTCATATTTTACAGCATGTTCCAGTTATTCTAAATTGGTCTTGTTAATGTGGTGAAATCCAGCCCAGCCTGTCCACATTACTAATTAAAAAGGTCCTCACTGGTAAACAAGATGTTGGACTAAACAAGTTGAGGTCCAGTCTAACCAGACTCTTCTGCTGTAACCATAGCAGTTTGCAAGGCTAAACTCACTTGGGATAAATAGACTAGAATCTGAGACAACAGATAGCCTTGTCAGGCACAACGAATCAGAATGACACCATGAGCTAATCAAAGTTTTTTTTTTAGTATTGTTGCATGCCTGTTTGCAAGAATCTGGCCAAACTGACTGCATTCCTGTCAAGCATGGGGAAATCAGGAGATTCAGGCAGTTCAAATGTGTATAAAGATTTATTGCAAACTTGAGTTCTCTACAAGAATCTGAACTACTAATGGTCAAGGAAAATTAGCGGGCGTTAAGAAGGTGGACTGAATTTAGATCTCTTGCAGGAGCACAGGGACTCATGACAGATGACACATTTGACCCCTCTTTCAGGTTCAGCCTGGTCATCTCCTACAGTTTCCTTGGGAATGGCCAGCTAAGGCTTCAAAGATTCTGGGGGAAGTAAGATCGCTCCCGCTTCCTGCTATGCAAGGATTCTAAGCTCAGATCCTTCTTCATACCTTCCCCCATTCTAGCTGGAGATTCCACCACATCTGCCTTTGTATAATGCAACTTCATATTGCATTATACAATGCAATATGGTTTCCTGTCTGAACCTGTTTTCCTGCCTGAGCATGGGGTTGGACTGGAAGACTTCCAAGGTCCCTTCCAACTACTACTACTACTACTACTACTACTACTACTACTACTACTACTACTACTACTACTACTTATTATTATTATTATTATTATTATTATTATTATTATCCTTAAAAATCCAATTTATTTGCACTGAAAAAGAGAATCTTGACAATAAATATGATTGTATCGTGCATGCATCTGGCATCAGTACTGAAAAATTTCAGTTGGTTCCCCAACTCCAGCCCTCTTTCTCTCTCTCTTTCTATGAATTACTTTGTCCTAACATAGAACTTTTATAATGAGTGTCTATTCTTTCCTCTTGGCTGCCTGCTCATTATTAGCCATTGCAAGTAGTAATTTGTACTATTAATTGAATACACGCACACACACACTCACACACACATAATGGAGTGACATTGGAGTCAGAGGAAGGTTCTGAGGAGCACCAAGACTCACAGTCAGATGAGGAGGCCGGCCCCTCTACTCACACTCGAGCAGAGACACAGCTGTTTTGGGAGCCTGAGTTGGGCGATGAAGAGGAACAGGTGGGGTCAATCCCCGATGCATGGATGTGCAGAGAAGACAGACGAGCAAGACAGAGGAAGGCAGTGGAGTGGCTCGAGAGGCAAAGGAAAAGCCATTAAGAAGCCACACCCTGGCTGGATTATAAAGGGGGAAGATGTGGGAGGTGCTGATTGCTGAAGGCAACCATTTGTGCTGAGGATTGTGTTTTTGTGGATTGTGTTGCTTGCCTCTGAAGTCTTGGACATTGAGTCAGGTGTGTAAAAATAAAAGAGATTTGTTTTTTCTTCCGGGTCCTGCCTGTTCCACGAAGAGGGGTTTCTTCTTGTGAGTAAAGTAGTTGAGCAAGTACTCACATAGGCTGGGACAGAACACCAAATGCCTGGGGAAAACCTACTAAAAACTCTTGTTAATAAAGAACACTGACATTTCTGTCTGCCATTGTCACCCTCTCTAATAACAACTCAGATGATTCCAGGTTTACCCTTTGCACAAATACAATGTTTATTTGGTTTCGACTTTATAGAATCCCAGCCAATGGACTTGTAAAACCAATGGCTTGGTCTAGTGTGTGAAACCAGCCCGTTATAGTTTATTCAATAAATCACAGTAAAATAAGCCATGTTTTAGCTCTCTATGGGAACATCATAGAGAGTTTAGCTCTCTATAGCAGGGGTTCCCAACTGGGGGTACGAGACGATATTCCAGGGGGTGTGAAAACTTGGATTTTCAAAATTATAGTGTATATTCATAATTTGTTGCCATTATTTCGAACTTTTGTAAGGGGTGCGAGAATATATCAGAAGCGTTCTAGGGGCGCGGGGTATAGAAAAGGTTGGGAACCGCTGCTCTATGGAAACTTTCCAAAACTGAGTCCCCTAACAGCTTGGGGTTTTTTTTTTTTTACAGTAAAGCATTTTACAGTAAATTAGCCATCCTGCTTGGACAGTGTAGAAGTTGATTACACAAACAAAGAAACAACCCTTGAACCAGATCTTCCTTCACAGATCACAGTGATATTGCTGTCTTTTAAAACCTTTGGACCATATGTCTCACGGAACATTAACTGAGCCCAGCTGTCACAGCATGCAGCAATAATTAGATGACCTTGGCTCATCTTGAAAAAGCTAAAGAGGATCAGATCTGATTAGTACCTGGAGGGAAGAGCTTCAGAAAATCTCAAGAGTTGTAAGCTAGAGTTGGAAGTTAAGTAGCATCCTAAAAGAAGATAATAACCATCCACTTCCACATTGCTGCCAAGCAAGTGACAAGAAAACTTACCCAAAGTCATGAACTTGAGAGTCTTTATTTTATATGAGCCTTGCAGGTACCACTAGTGAATAAATAGTATGTGATCTCCCCTTTTCCTTCTCTGAAAAATGTCATGGTCATCCAACTCTTGTCAACTTCTTTCCTAAACTTCCAGCAAAACTGATTTAAATTATTTTGGCTCACTTCAAATTTTCTACAGATATTTCATCTGAACCAAGATCAAACTTTAACCATGATTGGCTTTAGGTAAAATTCAATGACAACTTTATTTGACGGTTCCAGTTAGAGGACTGATGAGCTTTCAGGAAGATGAGTGTAAAAATCCTTCCTTCCTTCCTTCCTTCCTTCCTTCCTTCCTTCCTTCCTTCCTTCCTTCCTTCCTTCCTTCCTTCCTTCTCACACCCAATTTTGCAACCTTTTTTTTGCCATGGTTATTAAGTTAATCACTACCATTGTTAAGTGAATCTTACAGTTGTTAAGCAAATCTAGTTTCCCCCATTGACTTTGCTTGTCAAAATCTGGCTGGGAAAGTCACAAATGCAGTTACATGACTCCAGGATGCTGCAATCTTCATGAATATAAGTTGGTTGCCAATTGCTCAGATTTTGTTCATGTGATAATGGGGATGCTGCGATGGTTGTAAGTAACCTTTTTTTTAGTGCTTTTGTGACTTCAAATAGTCACTAAATAAATGGTTGTAAGTTGAAGGGTATACCTATAGTTCAAACTACTTCTTGTTGCAACAGGATGAGCTGAAAGTTGGGTTGAAACAATTGGTAAATTTCTAGATCAGAGGTCTTCAACCTTTCCAGGCTTGAGGACCAGAGGGAAGGAAAGCAGTTTCAAAATTGGTGCATGCACACGCAGGGCCACGTACACTGGTGTGGCACTAGTAGCCCCATTTCTGCATGCAGTATGTGTTGGCTCCATGCACATGCACAAATGGCTGCACACCCCCTATGGTGGCTAGCGGCTCATTTGTGCATGTGTGAACGGGCCATGCAAACCACTAGGGCTAGCAGCGCATGCACAAACAGACTGCGGACACCCGCCCCATGCTAGTATCCCCATTTGTGCCCAAGGGGCCACAGCCACTAGTGCAAGTGGGGGGTATGCGCTCCCACGTGTGCGCACACCAGGCAGCTGTTTCCGCAGCCCGCTGCCAAGAGTCTGCAGCCCAGAACTGGGCTACGGACCATAGGTTGGGGACCCCTGGTCTAGATCACTTGCCCTAGATTAAGAAAGATTTTTGACTCTACAGTAGCCACAGAGGTGACTGACCTGTCTCATCCTAAACTGTGAAAATGAGGAAAGCTTTGCATCACCAAAAAAATTGTGTTGAGGGATGGTGACCACGGTTCTGCTTCTCTAAACAAATGCCTGCTCAGGATAGTAAAAAAATGTATGTGCTTTTAACTACACTGCAAGAAGTGAATCTTACCGATAAAACCCTGTAAAATCTAGAATATTTCTTAGAGGTTTTTACCTGTAAGAAAGATTCTACTGGCTTTAAACATTTATCCTCCCTACTCTGAAAAGAAGAGTGTGATGTTAAACAAGCTGCACATTCCCTGAATCCTTCAAACAAAGATGATTTTTTTCCCCCTGTTCCTGGTATAAAATAACATTTTTTTTCTTTTCATTATAAAAGTATTTCTTAAATGTACATAATTAACACCAATGTTCTTCTTATCGGTATGTGTGGGTGTGTGTATAAAATCTTAATTATATAAGTTGACTTGAAACTTTGCAGCGCTCTTATTACTTCCAGTTCTTTTTTTAAAAAAAATGAACCTTGTAACAACTGAAAGGAAACCATTTAAGCAACCGCTTGTATAAATTAATCCTAGTGGCAAATTACTTAACCCTGCTTTGAAAGCCCACATTTTTTCTATAGCTACTGTGTTATATATCTCTGGGACTCAGAACTTCTAATTCTAAATAATTCCAATACATAATATACCTCAATGTATTGGCTTTGAACCGAATCCATTTTTCCTGCAGAGAAGTAATATTTTCTTCTGCATCCTCAGTGGGACGCATCAATTGTTGAGTGCTGCAAAGAAATTATCTATTTATGACAATGAGAAATACCACTGTGAAATTTCAGAATTTCATTCCACTCAGCAAAGAAAGCAAGTAAGCTATTCTTTTAGGAATCCACTTCTCTTTCCGCTCTTTTAGCATTAGCCTGCATCTTATCTTTTTAATTTTAATCCTTACTCAATTACTAGGGCAGGACAAGAAGTAAATGGATAGAAGCTTATCAAAGACAGATACAACCTAGAATTTAAGGAGGAATTTCCCAACAGTGAGAACAATTAAACAGTGGAACAGCTTGCTTCCAAAAGTTGTGGGGTGCTCCATCACTGGAGGGTTTTAAGAAGAGATTGGACAGCCATTTGTCTGGAATGGTACAAGTGGTCCTCAACTTATGGCCACAATTGAGCCCAAATTTCAAGTGAGAAATTTGTTAAGTGAGTTTTGCCTCCCTTTGCGACTTTTTTGTGTGTGCTACATTTGATAAGTGAATCACTATAGTTGTTAAATTAGTAACATGGTTGTTAAGTGAATCTGGTTTCCTCACTGACTTTGCTTGTCAGAAGGTTGCAAAAGAAGATCCCATGACCCCGGGGCACTGCAACCATCATAAATGTGAGTCAATTGTCAAGCATCCGAATGTAAATCACATGACCATGGGGATGCTGCAATGGTCATAAGTGTGAAAAATGGTCATAAATCACTTTTTTCAGTGCTGTTGTAACTTTGAACGGTCACTAAATGAACGTTTGTAAATCGAGGACTACCTGTATAGCATCTTGCCTGAGCAGGGGATTGGACTAGTCCAGGGGTAGGCAACCTTGGCTCTTTTATGACTCATGGACTTCAACTCCCAGAATTTCTGAGCCAGCCATGCTGAGGGGAAAGGGAGAGGTTTCCAAGCTGAGCCATGCTGGCTCAGGAATTCTGGGAGTTGAAGTCCACGAGTCATAAAAGAACCAAGGTTGCCTACCCCTGGACTAGAAGATCTCCGAGGCTCCTTCCAACTTTGTTATTCTCTATTTTTTTGTTCCGTATCTCCTCCCTTCTCAGTGCTGGAGCAATCAGAGGTCTCCACCTGTTTTCATTCCCTTTGGTAGTATCGGAAACAATCAGAGGCCAATAGTCCCTTTCCATTTGCTGCCCTTCAGCTGCTGTGCACATTGAAAGAGGAAGAGGGACTGATGGAAAAGGGGCTTTTCATTTCTCTGTTAAATAACCTTGCAGAGCTCTAATTTGAAACAAACAAAGCATCTGAAAGCATTTCTCCTTGGGGGATTGTACTGTTACTAAATTGCTGAATATTTAATAGTCATACACATGCTCCAGACCCCAAGGTCTGTCCCCCAAATGATAAGCTCTTTTTTATTAAATGAACTTTAATTACTTAATAATTAGACTGTCTGTAGGGAGAAGATAGGGATCTTGATAGGCCTTCCAACTAGGCTGCAGGGCAAATCAAGCTTCCCTGGCATTTTTTTGATTAGAAATTAAAAGCAGGTGTGCTAAATCTTTGCGGAGGCCCAATTTTTCCCTTAGGGGACAAAGATTTGATGAGAAGTTGAGCTGCCCAAGACATTGTTCTGCAACGGTTGTGCAAATTAACATGAACAGAAGGCATAAAAGAAGCTCCTAGCATGCTTTGAGGAAAAGATGAAGATGACAAGAGAGGGTAGGCCACAAGTCTTCATTTTCTATCTCCAGCTGAACACATGAAAGGAAAATTGACAACTCTTCCTTATATTGTTGTTGTTGTTGTTATTATTATTATCATCATCATTATTATTCATGACGACAGTGAGGGTGCTTACCACAAGGAGATTGAGGGTTTAGTGAACTGGTATAAGGAAAACA